CTATGGTCGGCCTGCAAAATTTGGGCTACCGATATCCATGCTGAAAATTCCATACTTTTACCAAAAATACAGTGTGGAACCAAGCTGTAATAAAAAAATCCCTGACACCCTTATCATCTTGTTTTCCTACTACCATCAATACTATTCTGCAGGCTGGTTGGTCATCTTTATTTCATTCTGTAACCACCAATAGCGATGATGGCCAGAAAAACACACCCGACAGTTGCTTAAAGCCGTACTGCAAACTTCATATTGGAGTATTTAGCGTCAGGACCCTCTATCAAACCTGTCAACAGGCATCACTAGCCAGCACTATAGCATCTCGATCCAAGGATGTATGTTGCGTTTCAGAGACACGCATACAAGACCCGAGTATAGTCATTCACTTAACCCCACCCAGCCAACACGGTGAATCAGTAAAATTCACTTTAAGTGTGTCAGGAGATCCCTCAGCTATTTCACGAGGACTCGCAGGTATAGGGATAGCATTGGGCGTTAGGACAGAAGAATCACTTCTTGATTGGATCTCAGCAGATATTCGTGTGTGCACAGCTCATCTGAACATGTCCGTTGGAAGGACGGCATTACCTGTCGTTGTTTTTCCATAGTCTTCACTTACATCCCGACCAACTGCAGTTCGGATTAATTAAAGGATAGTTCCTACTAGACACTATCCAGTTTGCTGCAAAAAGCGAAACGCTCAGATATAGTTGTTTTAGCAGGCTACTTCAATGCCCAAGTAGGGAAGTTGTGCCAAACTGAGAAGTATGTATGTGGTGCGTATGGAGTTCCCTGCCGACGAGCCGACAACGGTGATCGTCTTCTACAGTTCTGCTCAGATAATTATTTGTTCCTAGTCAGCACTAACTTTAGGCACAAAGAGAGACATTGTGTAGCCTGGCGACCTCCATCACTAAATCAACTCAGACAGACCACATAGCGATAAAGTATCGTTGGCGAAGGTTAGTGGAAGACTGCCGCTCTTTCTGGAACATGTGAGTAGACTCCAATCAAGCCCTGGTTCGCATGCATTTATGCTTACGACCAAATGGATATAAAACTTTTGGTGACGAAGCAGGTACATCTCCAACTTGGTCAGGACGCCGAGTCTCTATTTTATTTATTTTTATTATTTTTGATTATAGCTTGAATCCACACCGTATTTTTGGTACAAGTATGGAATTTTTAGCATGTGATATCATTAGTCTAAATTTTGCAGGCCGACCTTCGATATCAGGTGTGCGTCGGCAGGGGATCGAACCCCGGACCATGTGTATGGTCAGGCGAGAGTCCCAACCGCTGTGTCACCGACGCACCAATGAAGAAGTAGCTAAACGCGTACCTGAGATCGACAGCAGGACTACTCCTGAGAAAGCCTGACACAATAATCAATTAGCTGTAAACAGCTGTAAAAGCTATTAATAACCTAAAACCAAAATCTAGTAAAAGTCAGTGAGTTTCTACCACCTTACCTGAACTGATTAAGGCAAGAAGACTGATTCCAGCGAGCTCCGAGTATGGTGAGGTGCGAAAGCTACTCAAACGCAAACTAACAAGAAGTCTTCGCAACGACCGTGAACAGTAGTGAGCAACAGAAGCAAAAGATATGGAGAAGGCATCAGAGATAGGTAACACCAGACAACTATTTAGATTTATCAGGGAGACAGGTAGCGAAAAGCAAATGATGAGTGATACAATCTCTGAGAAAACTTGTGCCCTAATTAGCCCTCAGGATAGACGACTGGAACGTTGGAAGGAACATTTTGAGGAGAAACTTAACTGGTAAACATTCACGCTCAACCTACTGAGCATCCAACACCTCCCTGAATGGGATATAAACACCGGTTCTCCATCTATAATTGTGGTTACAAATGCTGTCTCTTATCTGAAACGAGGTAAAGCCGCAGGACCTAATGGAATGATTTCAGAGGTATTTAAGTACGGTGGAGACAGTTTACTGTCTGAGTTAACTTAGATACTAGGCAGCGTCTGGGAATCAGAGGAAGTCCTGTCGGGTTGGTGTAAGTCACTGATTATCTCCATATACAAGAAGAGACACAAGTCTTCCTGTGATAATCACAGGGAGACTAGCTTGACTAATATGGTATCTGAAGTTCTAGGCTCAACAATCATGCGTAGACTAAGTGGTGCTTGAAAGGAATAAACAAGAGGAAACTGGACAGGCTTTAGACCAGGACCATATCTTAACCCTTCTACAGATTCTGGAACATAAGCATACTTACCAGCGTCCAACGATCGTTATATTTCTTGATCTACAGGCGGTATTCGATTCCGTCGACCGAGAGGTACTCTGGCGATGTTGGCTGTAAAATGAATGTCGAGAAAATACATTTCACTGATCAAGGCACTCTAATCGAACTCATGCAGCCATGTGAGAGCGTACGGCGAGTTGTCATCTGAAGTGGTGACAACTAGTGGTGTCCGTCAGGGATGCCCATTATCCCCAATTCTATTCAACTTCATCATAGATGTACTAATGGACTTAACCCTAAGTGACTTCAGCGACTCAGGGATTGACTTGCTACCAGGGAATAATCCCGTTGACTTAGAATATGCAGATGATATAGTCCTTCTAGGCGAGAAAGCTGACAAAATGCAGAGTCTTCTGAACACCTTGAGCCGCAATCTACGAATGTTTGGCATGCGATTCACTCCCGCCAAATGTAAGATGATGTTACATGACTGGACTACATCGACGCCTAGTTTAAAAATAGGAAGTGAAGTGGTAGAGCACGTTGACCGCTTCACTTATTTGGGAAGTACCGTCAGCCCCAACGGGTTGATCTCCGTCGAATTCTCAGTAGAGATACAGAGGGCTCGTTTCGCATATGCCATTTTACACCGTCTCCGGCTATCGATCAAAGGGCGGGTGTACTGCTCATCAGTCCGCTCCTTCTTCCTTTATGGCTGTGAGACCTGGCCATTGAGAGTGGAAGACATGAGAAGATTACCTGTCTTCGATCAAAGGTGCCTGCGCTCTATCGCCCGTGTAAAGTGGCACAATAAGGTGAGCAACATTGAGGTTAGGCTTTGAGTATTAGGTAAGGAGGTAAAATCAGTCGACGAAGTTGTGAGATTACACCGATTGAGATGGTTAGGACATGCGTTACGCATGCATCCCTAGCCATCGCCTTCCCCGATGGGCAATGTTAGCTGACATAGGGTTACGTTGGAAAAGAGCCAGTGGTGGTCAAACAAAATCATGTCTTCATCAGTCAGTGAAATCCACAAAGGTTGGTTCAAGCCAGCCACGCAGGAAGATGCAGACTTCCTGGTTGGGGTCTTACGGATGTTTGGAGACAATCGGTGATATGGCTAAAAATCGTTCTCAATGGTTGGCGCAGATGCATTCACTTCTTGTGACTTATAATACCCAATAAAACTATATTTTTCTTCGTTATTACTACTCTTTGGCTTCATATCTCTGTTTACTGTCTCTATTTTGCATTTCCGTTTACTTTCTTCTTCTCTGGCTTTGTGTGCTGAGTGAAGTATGGCAACTCGAATTGCTGCACATCGGTGAAATGTTCTATGTTGAGACCAGTCAGTCAGTGTAAATCAATCCCATAGTTTGATGAGAGCACCCAACGACTACAAAAAAAATGATTCACACAAAAGAATCTCAATGACCACACAAAGCACCACTCTGAGGCGTTTTATACCAGATGTGACGAATGGGAATAGTGGTACACTCACTAGACTGGATTATTTCTGCTCAACAAAAATCACTCAGTCAATGATAATGACACATTCAGGTGAAAGAGAAGAACTTAAAGGGAGGAAATAGTAGACCTATACAAAAATACACTTCACAACTTCGCATGGGGTGAAACAAGCTATTTCCGACACAAGGCAAAGTCAAGCTTATTATCATCTACATCCCTACCCTTCTTCCGTACTTATAGTCGTCAGGAAAAACACTACATACCTCATTAGACTTGCAGCAGCCATAACAAACAAACAACCATAGTCTGGTTTGTGTACAAACCATGAGCGAATGTATTTCCAGTCGGTTAATTTTCTGGGGGGACCTGGGATATGTGGTTAAAGGTGGACTGTTTTCGGTTGTAACATGGGTAAAGTGGGACAATAAAATTTTTCTGGACATGGGCAAACGGGGAAAAAGTGGCCAATATAGGTAAGGTGGACAAATTATGTAGCATTTACACCATCATTCGCCCACCTATTTGCCCATAAAAACTACCCACTTAGCCCACGTCTTGCACACATTGCCCAGGTGCATTTTTTGACTGGGTTCGCTCATGACATTTAACTTACCAGTCGGTTACTTTTTTTGGACCTGGGATATGTGGGTAAAACGTGAGCAGTTTTCCGTTCAAATGTGGGCAAATTGGGATGTGTGCTGTTTTCGTTTGTAACATGGGTAAAGTTTGAATGAGTGGACTATTTTCTAAAGTGACATGGGCAAATGGGGAAAAAAGGGTATATTTTTAATTTCTGCACATGGGATAAGTGGGTGAAAACGTGGGTCACGTGGAAAAACGGAACAAGTGGCCAATGTGGGCAGAGTAGGTAAAATCTGTTGCTTTTACAACACCTTTTGCCCACCTCTTTGCCGATCAAAATTATCCACTTGGCCCACGTTTTGGCCACCGACTGGGTTTTTTTTATTACAGCTTAATTCCACACCGTATTTTTGGTACAAGTATGGGATTTTCAGCATGGATATCAGTAGCCTAAATTTTGCAGGCCGACCTTCGATATCAGGTGTGCGTCGGCAGGTGATCAAACCTCGGACCATGTGTATGGTCGGCGAGAGTCCTAACCACTGTGCCACCGATGCACATTGCCCAGGTGCATTAACCGACTGGGTTTTGTCTAAGTAACCGTGTGATTCAACTACTCAAACACCAACATAATAACATGTGGCTAAATCTCCTTTTTACAGTCAATAAAAAGTCTTTAATTGTCCTTAAGTGTCTACAAAACCGTTTATCAACTGAACATCAGCAGAATACCTGGTGGGCGAGGATATACGTTAGTACGTGTTAGATTTACCGCGCCCCATGCTTTCTCGTCTTTCATTGGTTAAAACAGTGGTGGTCAATTGGATTTTTGATTTGTCCTTGGTAGTTGCTGTCCTGTGCTGTTTTGTGTGGTTGTGTTATGCGTCGTTTGCAAGCAACTTTCACAAACATAGATGTAACATTTGACTATTCTAACATTGTTCCACTGTTTTTTTATACAGATACACTGCTCTTTTCGTTATAAACCCCCTCGAAACTGGTCAGACATTATAGTGGCTATCAGTAACTACGATCCCGTGGGTGCCAATGCATTTCTTGAGTTATGGTTGTACGTACAGTATTTCCTACTTCGATATTTCTCACTCACGTGGTCAGGTATCCTGTGTTTCTTGCGAATTAACTGCGATGAGGTGTGGTAATAATGTGCTTCGTTAACGAGCCCTTTTTCTAGAATTTCATCGCAGGTAATCAATGCGGGAGGAAGCAGCACATATGTAAGAAGCTACGAACGCATTAGAAAACTTTCAAAAGGCGTGGACCTTAAATATTACTAACAGTGACGAACTTTTCCACACATCAGTATGTGCATACGTTCACATGCGGAGAGAAAATCCACGAGCGGGACATTGTATAGTAGTGAAACAGCTTTGTGGAACTTTCATGTAGATTGTATGTTTCACCCTAGTATTTTTGTCCCTCAGACCACCAACAAAGTATTATCAAATGTATTCCTGTAGTATGATTCGATGGCACAAATACTGGCAGTTAATAATATTATGTATGCGTAATGTCCATGATATTTTCTACACCATTACATATCACAAAGAGTGTAAATTAGAAAGACTGAACTTAACTCATATATGGTCATGTATGTTAATCATGTAAATGCTGAATTTATGTAAGTGAATTTAATCTGTATCACTTTTAGGAATGATGGGTCGCAATGAGGTCTGCCAGTAAATAAAATTCAATGGAAGCAGAGGTAGCCGAATTCGGACAAAGACATCCGAAAAACAGTAATGAGAGTTTTACGACTTATAACCAGGTACATTTACAAAATGAGTCTTGGGAATTGATTCTACATACAACAACAAGTGAAGGTAAGTTCACTCATTCATGTATAACCATGCAGATATCCTTTTTTGCAGTTTGTGATACCGGATAGCCTTGGATGTCGTATAGGGTTCTATTTACCTGAATTTCAGAAGATTTAAACGTGACGCGGTTCGGACACTGGGCAGTTTCCGTCGAATGGCGGGAGATACTTTTCAAACGAAGACTTTCATCTTGGACTGTGCTTAGTTAATACGTGTAAATACAGTAAATACAGCTTTCAGTCGGGAAATGAACTTGTTTGCATTGCAGTGAAATAAAATTTTCTATCTAATATTCTTGTGTTCTGTTTGTTCTTCATGTGGTCGGAGTATGGCATGCTAGACCGGTACTTCCTAGGATATGAACTCGTTACTGTACATAAGTGTAATTCTGAAGCAACAATATCGATCGATATAAATGGCGGATTATAAGTACTTTAGTCAAGCCTAAACATCTGCCTAAAGTTACGCGATTACGTCTCCTAGTCATAAGTAAGTCTCTAGGTACCAATGACAAAAGTACTTAACTTCAGTATTCGAAAAATAAGAAATGAACTTAGGAACTGCAATTGAGTTGATTTCGATTAAGGTTAAGTGTATTCAAAAGTAGTGCATTACCATTATTTCACTTAAAGCGTGATGTCAATCCATATGATTATGGTTGTTAACTTATAGTGTAAGGTGAAGTGTACACGAGGCGAATAATTGAATAGGTTGAGCTGTGGCGATCATAATAAGATTTCGCTTACGTTCAATTATGCCAACAATTACTTTCTCAGGTCTCATTGATAAGTCAGGCCTCCATCTCATGATGTCAAATTTACTTTCACTCAGATAGAATAAGAAAAGTATGGTAAGCAGGATGTTAAATATATTTATTGAAAAATAATAACAAGCAAACACCTGTACGCAGTTGTTTGTCGTAATTATTTCGGCGATGTCGAATTGCTGTGACCAGGTTGACTGACGTTACTGGATATCTGCAAATAGGTGAACAAAGTGTTTTTTTAATCGCTAAAATAAGAAAGAAGTAATATTAAAGGTAAACGCTTTATATTTGCCTGCTTTTGCCGAAAAAGGTTCATTCTGCCTTCTCATTCTTCGCTGAACTTTGGGAAGATGATTTGCAAATGTAAAAGGTAATAATCATTGGAACTGAAACAATATTTTCTAGCCATTTGGAAATTTTTCCTTTGATGTAGTTTCTTATCAACAGTTTGCATTATTAATAGTGAGTTTATAGGAAACTTCATTATATCTTCATTTTCACCAAATTTCCCTTGACTTACAGGAGCATGCAGTCACTACATACACTCAAGCATTGTAACGTCAGCATTACAAAATCCCTACAGATAACTTATGTAATAATAAATGCTCTAAAGATATGAGCCGTAAGTGCGTCTTCCATATCCTTCATAGCCACAAGTAATTCATTACGGATCTCAGAATATCTTAGTGACTTGAAAAGGAACAATCTTTAAGACTGGTATAACTTATGTAACAGGTGCAGTAGTTGTAGGACACAGCTGCTACCTACTAATCGACAGAAAGCTGATACTAATTTTAAGTAGTCTAACACTTTAGAAGGACCATCTATACTATTCTTCGTGACCCAATGCACACTGATCTACACATAATCTGATGCCATTTTCTGCACTGAGCAATTAGGGTCTTCTGAAATTCCACGTGCAAACGTAAATTAAACTAGTATCACATCTCCACCCAGGCAATTTTAACTGGGAACTTCATCAAAATAGATATAATCACCAGGTAATTCAGCAGCCTGTCTCATTCATCGCATGATCTCTTCCATGTGTTATGGAATATTTCAGTCCTCACAGATGATAACAGAAGTGTTTAACATCCTCAAAACACACATCTAGCTTATGTCTGTAGGCTATTTCTCTCTCAAATACCCGATTCTCACAGAATAACCGGGCTTACAACAGCCATTGCCTGTGGTCAATTTACAACCTTAAGTTCTAAAGCAACTGGCAAAAACAAAGCCTCAAGGCTCTGAATCGCAAATAATAGTCTTTCTATACGAACTTTCCTAAAAAGGATGACCTTTTATTGGTAATTCGCCTGGGCTATCAAGACAATTTTACGCATTACCACGAACACAATACAGCAATATACTGCTTTTTGGATACAGAAGCCTAAAACTAGTCAAATGTAATCTATTTTCACAAAATTGAGCGACTATAACGCCTCTATAAGCGTGAACACGATAACCCATACACTGCGCGAAAACATTTCGTGGAGACGTTAAGCCTCACCCATACCTGATATGGGCTGAGGTCACGATATAGGCGCCCACTGATCAATCAGACAGCTGAGTAGTTGAAGTTCACACACTGCTTTAACTATGCTAAGTAGATTCAAGTTTGCATGGACTTTGTGAAAATACGGTATATGTATTGACTACTGAAACAGGAGCGAAATTTGTATTGTTAATGATGGCTGACAAGTTAGTGTTTTCAACCGGATTTTGAAGTGTGCACTTCTTAACAACTGATCAGTACAGAGAGTACTTGCGACACTTTAGGATGTTGTCGCCGACAATTTAGCTACTTCAGCTGACAGAATTCTGTAGATATCACAATGGCTAGTCAATGGAATGTTCTTGATCAGTAGATGGTCTTCAAGTAGTGACACCGAAATGAGTTATGGAATCGAGTGAGAGGGCCATCGAGTGGTTACGCCACGAGATGATACTGCATGCCAGTCTCATCTCTCAAGATAGAGGGATAGGTGCGTTCGGTTTTCTCAAAAGCCAATGCCCACTCAATAAGTGTGCCACTATGCGAATGTTTGGGTCTTGAAACTGACGTTGCTTGTGAAAAAACACATGCATGACGCACAGCAATGGAGATGATTGTCATCACGGGTAGCCCTTGGTGCTTCTGGAGCAGTCCCGATTTTCCGGCTACACTGTCCCGCTCATCTCATATTGATGAGCTCCCCAAGGCTGCTACAATTCCGACCTAAGATGGTTTTCTCCTTCCACTGAATACATATATGTCAACGAAAAAACCACCTTGTGCATTGTATATTCCACCAGCATTAAGAAACAATGTGAACAATGATCTTATCATTTCTAATAAAGTCGGGGAACGATCGTGTATTTCACCATCTTCGATGGCATATCTTTCCATAAATCAACATACCGATGACATAGAACAACGCTTCAAGTCACTGGAGCTTTCTGATAATTCCACCGAAGTATATGATGGTGGTTCCAAGAAGAACGTTTTCGGTCCAAAAGTATTATCAAAAAACGAGCATTCTCTTGATCACAAAACTGAACCACCATTAAAGTTAAGTGATTTTCAGCATATCATTGAATTGCATAATCTTTCAAAAGATGTTGGAAATTACCGATTAGAATCTGAACTCACAGGATTTCAAGGTAGTGGATTTTACCTAAAATGTTTGGATGATGAACACTGCTTGGCTGTATTTTCATCTAACGACGAAGCAAATCGTGCACTGGCTCAAATATAGGGACTTTTTATAAAGGCAAGAAAGATAGACGATGTTTCTCTAGCTAGTAAACAGAAGATTGCACATTCACCTGGTGACTGGTTTATGCCATATAAAAAGCGCACATTAACAACTAGTTCAACAGCTCATCGATTTATTTCAAGTCATTTATGCATTGCGTCTGATAAAAATAAATCAATCGAAGATACGGCTAGAGGAAAACAAAATAAAGCTTTATTGCGAGAAGCACGTGCTCCGCAGAAGCAATTCGTCAAGCACAAAAAGCCACATGTGAAAGTGATGAATAAAAATCAGAGGATAGTGTAAACAATATTGTCGTACAAAAGCTGTCTACATACGTACCTATCTATCTATCTGTCTACCGATCTTGTCTTTATTTTCTATGCATTATGCATTTTTAACTTGTAATTCACTGTGCGTCGGTGGCACAGTGATTAGGACTCTCGCTGTCAATGAACTTATCCCTAAGTTCCTATTGTTACGAAGACGCTCAGAACAGATAAATACTACGTACTTTCTTTGACTTTAACTCCAAAACACTAGTATTGTAAAAAATAAATTATATTGTTTGGGAATTAAAGCGGAGAACAGTAAAAGTCTATAAACAAATGTTTTATACAAAATCATGAAATACTTTTATTCGTTTTTGGTCGTCCTCGTTGAACTTGTACACGATCGACTCATTCGCGACTTCATGTTGCCCACCAAAGGCTACCAGTTCCAAAAACAGACGTTCAATTTTCACCTTCGTTGACACTCCCCGGGAAAAAGGGGTCCATTCCTTCTTTCCATAGCGATGGTAACCTCAAATTGAACTGCCAGTGCGGGACCTAGGCCAACCGGGACTAGGCTAAAATGAAAACAGCAAGACAAAAAGGCCCAAAACACGACGGGCATACTCACAGAACAATCTCACACATCGACGACGATCTACGCATTCCAGTTAAAGGCATCCCCTTGCAACACAATCGCCACTTACTAGAATGACTCTTGCAGGACGCAACGTGACCATAGCAGCTCCTCATGATACTCTTCACACATCCTATTATCTATTCACTACCAATTACCACTGCGATCGACTGTCACTCATCCTGCCTTAGTTCTACTTACGGCGACGTATGCAAGCCTCAGTCGTCCACACTCTCGCTCCCTGGAGTGTGGGACGACAGCCTAAATAGAAACATTCACTCTCAATCATCGGTTCCACAGCTAATCCCTATATACGTATACACGTCATTCTTAGCACTAGCCTCCCGGCTGTCTTTAATATCAGTGAATTCATTCGTGGATGTGGAAGACTAGAAGCAACTTCAGAAGTAAGCACGACGAACAATTTAACAAAATTATGCAATAACAACAAGATATAAAGACAACAAGTAAACACAATGAATCCAAACACAAATTGATATGACACACCACACATATATACAAGCAGTACAGATCGTGTCTTAATGGAATTCCTTTGAAGAATCGCAGGACTTATACCAGTACGCCTGCAACCCTTCTCATGTTGACGATTGTAAGTTGAAGAACGACCAGATACAAACAAGATTAACCAATAATTACATAAATTGGAACCTACTCAATAACTTAACACAAACATATGCACAATCAATACATCAAATGTTGTAGATTCTGCCTTGACGAACTACCCTTGAAGAATTGTAGGAAGTACACCAGTACGCCTGTATTCCTTTTCAGGTTGATGATACAAGTGGAAGACGTCCGGAGACAAACAAAGTTACCAACAGATAGATGAGAGATGATACCAATGCAGTATACAAACAACATGAACATATCCACGAAATGACACACCAAGGACGATGGACTGCGCGCTGTCGTACTACCCTTGAAGAATTGTAGGACTTACAGCAGTTTGCCTACAACCCTTATCAGGTTGACGCGCTTAAGTTGGAAAATCGTCGTTGATTTCATTTGCTGAACTCCCTCTCATCTATATCCTCAACTCTGATTGGTGACACGCCCACGTCATTGTATCGTAGAATATAGATGACTAACAAATATACGACGTATCTGACCAACCAAGCGTAAGCACTGAGTAATTTATACCGAAGATAATAGCATTCAAATAGTAACTTGAAACTTGAAAGGCTTTTATTCATGCAAGTCAATTTAAAAACTATCCTCTCGTACACAGTTGGCTTATCCTATCCAAACTGACCAACATCTTTCGATTTTATTACGGATTGATACTAGCATACTCACAGCATAAGACAGTAGAGCTCATGGACGTCCCATTCATTGTGGATGACAACACAAACGACAACTGATTGATACTTCTTCGTGAAATTAGCGGTGGATCAGAGGCTGTTGTTGTTCGACCCCTCCTATTTACACTATACATCAATGACATATGCGCTTGCTTCACGCACGGGAAACCATTCATCTTTGCAGATGACCTAAAAGTAGCTTATACATTCCAATGTGATGACTTAGGGTACTTCGAGAATGTAGTGCAGAAGGAATTAGATAAAATGACTGCTTGGTCGTCCTTATGGAATCTACAATTTAACCCGAACAAATGTGGCTGGATCCGCTTCGGCGCACCCCCAATCGACCTGAAATTAACGCTTCAATCTGCTAACCTAACCAGACTCCGAAGTGTCGTTGACCTAGGCCTGAGATACTCTAGTGACTTGACATTCTCTGAGCAAGTAGCATCACAGACTACAAAATCGAGGATGCTCTTGGGATGCATAATCAGGAACTTTCACGACAATGAAGCAAAGCTAATTCTGTACAAAACATGTGTCAGACCACTACTAGAATACTGTCCATTTATTATAAGCAGCACTCGCACACGTGACAAGCTAAGGATGGAAAGTATCCAACGATATTTTACCTCAAAACTACTTGGCTACGATTGTAAGTAAGATTACATCTCACGCTGCATGATCCTAAAACTTGACCCACTTAGGACTGGAATCGACCTTGGCACCATTTGATGCAGTGAAACAACCCAACATGACCTTATCTGGTTTTGGCATCCACAATCATATTTCTTCCCTTTTATAAAACTACGGTAAGACTGCTGAAAATTGTAATAAATATATCACTGATCTCAACATAATACATCAATAAACTTTAAGCCAAGTGTGCTATTCACAACAAAGTTGTATAGGAGAATTGACTTCAAGCTCTATTTTTCCCAGATATCTGTATCACATTCACCTGATGTCTGGGATTTTGTTAATGCGAAGACAATATTTCTATATTTCTTTATGTGTTACACAAACAGACTTTATAGCAGACTGTTCCGACTGACTCTAATGTCAGAAAAAACAACCAAACTCTAAATTCATCATGCATCAAATTATGTGTAATTTATGTGATAACTTATCCATGCCTGTACAATTGGCATGTTCCTGCATAAACAGGAAGAAATATATATTAGAGTTCATGGACGTCCCTTTCATTGTGGATGGCAACAACAACGACGACTGAGTGATGCAAGTTTATGAACTTAACGGTGCGTCAGAAGCTGTTGTTTTTCGACCTTTAGAAGTCTGTCTAACCGTAGGATTACCGTTACTTATATCTTTCATTATTAGCACCAGTTTAGTACTACCATCTGTTGATAGGTGGGCTACACGCTGATCACTTACACTGACGGTCTCACAAGTATCCATAGCTTCTACCACCTCGTCTGCTCTTAGTTCTACTTCACCTTCAAGTTGCACAGAACATTTGTTCAACTCATTAGTAGTAGGCATTCCCCTCATCTCATCATGATCAACCAAAGACAAAAGTGCGCTATCATGACCACTATCAAAAATATCCACTTTATCTCCATTTGTATAATCAACTTCATCATTTTCAACCTCTTTAATAAGAGCAGTAGACAATTTGGTTTTTTCCTCACAAATCCTTAAAGGGTTTTAGACCTTCGCTGTGGCCAGTAACACCATGTAAACTTGTGGAGTCAGAACTGGACTCTGAAACTGTAACTTCTTCTGCACAAACTGCGGTGTCGTCTGTGACACTCTATTCAACAATGGCTTACCAGTTGCAACTAAAGGCTTCTTCACTGAACCATTATCGTCACACCATTTGGAGTCAGACCTTGATGACGCTGATTTCACATTTAGTTTACTACTAAACTTCCCCATTGCTTCACAGATCGCCCTTGTGTGAACTACTTGCAAACGGACGAAAAACGGCCGTATTTGTCTTGCAGCTTGTAACCTATCTGTTGGGGACGTCCCAGGAAAGCTGTCACGCTCATCAGGTTTGCACCAATTGCTAGACACCATAGAGTTTCCTCGATATCCACTTCTCAGAAACCTTTTCGTCGTAAACGATTGCGTTTTGCTCTCCGACTTCTCTATTCTACGGATGGGATGCAATATACAGGCAAACTCGCTCATAGATTGATTGACACTATCGTTTACCAGTTTCAGAATGTCATCAAACTTTGGCTCATTACCTTCATCCTCTATACGAGAGCTTATCTTCACCCACTTCCTTTGCAGTCGAGTAGGTAGGCGTCTCGCTATTACCTCTAGGACGGAACTTGAGTTCAGATCGCTCATGCAATTCATTATCTCTCTGTTCGAAAGTGGGAAGAATATCTTTCAAAGGTTTGACGGTATAGACGTTCGCGAACAGTACTGAGCATATTAAGGCCAGATCTTATACCAACAACTTCTAACTTATTTGATTCTCTGTGCGTCGGTGGCACAGTGGTGAGGAATCTCGCTGACCATACACATGGTCCAAGGTTCGATCACCTACCGACGCACACCTGATATCTATGGTCAGCCTGCAAAATTTGGGCTACCGATATCCGTGCTGAAAATTCAATACTTGTACCAAAAATACAGTGTGGAATCAAGCTTTATTCAAAAACAAAATAAATAAAAATAAAATACGTACAAAAGGCAAAGCAAAAACCACGATTGATCGTTCAAATTTCGAGATATATTTCGGAACCAAATCGCGGATTGAAGTGGAAGCTAAGCTAGCTAGTTATCGTGCAC